CCCCAGGGGAGTTCCTGGGCCTCATGTTGTCCACACAGGGGGTCCAAAATGATGCCAAACAAGGTGTTACATTCATGGATGTGAGAACCCCTCCCTTTCTAATTATCGGTCAGGAACATTCACACATTTCCTAGGATTTCTCTAGATATTACCAGCAGTCCATTCCTCATTTTTCTGCCCTACTATCCTCCAATTACTGGTTTCCTCAGAAAGGGGAAGGTGTTCTGGGGGTCCCTAAGCTTGCTTGTAGTGAATGGTGTGCTGGTAGATGTTAAAAAATAGCAACAGGGGCCGGCCGAGTGGTGCGTTGGTTAGGATTTGGCTTGGGACACCAGCTCTGAGCAGCAGGGCCCCAGTTCGGATCCCACATGAGGGCGAGTGACACTGTGTCCTTTACAGCTAAGATGGTGAACAACAGCTTGGCCTGGAGCTGGGCTGCCTGAGTCGCAGGCAATGGCGTAGGCTGTAGTGGGGCTGGCCAGCAGCAGGTGTGAGCTTTCGTGAGCTGCCATGAGCCACTGTGAGTGGCCATCCAATGGCCGGCGAGGGACTGCCTCAGCCGGGAACAGAGCAATGATAATACCAACATGGGCCAGTGAAGCGACGTCCTCCACAACTAGACTGAAGAACAAAACGACAGCAACTTGTCTGTTCTCCTTCCCCCAAATCCCCAGCACTGTTCCTATCCCCCCAATTCCCCAAAAAATCTTAAAAAAAAAAGAAAGAAAGAAAAAAGAAATCTAGAGGGCCAAAGGAAGTGGAAATGACTTTCACCTGGGATCCTCTGCCTGGAAAAATTGGCTGTTATTTGCCTCACTTGCTGCTGACCTAAGAGATGCTATATAGGCATCTCTGAGGGATCTAGGGCTGTCCAGGAGAGGCCTCTGAGGAGAAAGAGACAGGTAGTATGGCAGTTCACACCCAGGTAGGGGCAGCCTTTGCATAGGTGTGGTGTCTGACTCATCATTCCTTGCTAACCTGCGACTCTTGCCAAACAGGTGTGGAGGACTTCAGGTAGTCCTGTGTTAAAACTAACACCCTGCCTTATGCAACCACATGCAACAGGTGGTGCAAGGATTGTACCAGCTCTTGATTCCCAAACGTCCTTGAATTTGACCTCTGACCTACACTTCTCACATAAAGACGAATCCTGGTGATGCTGGTAGATGCTGTTACCTTCTTGCGGTTCTTCAGCTCTTGCTCCAGCCCAGCCTACAGCCACTTATCAATATCTTCTCCTTCCATGAGTTTCTCAGCTGCCATATTTCCATCCTCAGCTCCTAGTTTCCTCTGGTTTTAGAGGACATGGATCGAGGCCCTTTAAAAACAAAGTCACTTGTTTAGTACCCACTACCTACAGTGAATCAGTTGGCTACTCAGAGTATCTATGTGGCCATACTTCCTACCAGTGACGGGAATATTCAGATTACTCACTGTTACCAAATTCACATACAATTTAAATCCACACAGGACACACGGCACTTCTTAACTTGGACCTCTTCATTTCATCCCACTCATTTTATTCCTGGGCTCCAGTGACATGCTGAGAGAACAACAGGCCAGCCGGGGTCTCCTGGACACTGGAGGTGAAATACAATCTGGCCTTCTTCCAATTCAGCACCTACCCATCTGTGCCACTACCTGGAGTCCTTCAAGTGATAGGTAACCAACTCAGGAGTGTTCTGACTCTTCCTACAACCCTCCCTGTGAATCTAATTCATCTTTAACTGTCCCCCATTCTCTCTGACCCACTAAGATACTGCTTCAACCCCATATCCTTGTGGTCAGAACAGGCAATCTGGGATGGAGAACCAAACTGTAACACGAGAGCTGCTAGACTCCCACTGATGCCATAGCCAGATAAAAGTCCCTAGTCTATTGGCAAAGGATCAGCCCAGGGAAACAGACATGGGAAACCTGTTCTCAATTCTGGAATATGCTTGAAGAGTTTCAAATTTTCCATCAGGTGAGACCAATTCCACCTACTGAAGGAGATAGGTGAGGGGAGAGAGATACCAGATCAGTGTCCATAACTGTTCTCTTTCCATCTGTGAACTGGGCCAAGAATGTTCCATAAAAGTCTCCATCCCTCATGTACCACGGTCACATAGAATTTCTCCACGTGCTTTCTTGGATTTTACCTGAATTCTGCTGCATTTTTGCATTGATTATTGCTCTCTAGTCCCATGGATTGTTTAGAACATTCCTGTTTTCCAAGACCACCTTGCTTGAGATGTGCCTGGGGCCTGTCCCAACTTCTCTCAGGTCCAGCTTTGGTTCTTAAGGCCCCAGCATGAATCAGAACCCTGGGCCCCTCATTCATCTGGAAGGAAAGGGTGGTTGTCAGGGTGTTAAGCTAGAGGTGCCAAAGGAAAATTTCTGATTCTTGTGCTTATGAGAAAGGTCTAAGCTGGAGATAAAGATTTGGGAGTCATTAATGCATTGCAGAGGGGGGAGGGGGAGTAGTAGAAGCTATGAGTGTGAATGAGTTGCTTAGGTAGAGTGAGCCGCATGAGCAGAGAATAAAGTCTGAAGCCTTGAAAGAGCCAACAGGAAAGGGTCAGGCAGAGGTGCCTGCAAACAGTGAGCAACTGGAGAGGCTGTAGCAAAACTAGGAGGGGCTCCGCCAAAACTGTGAAGAAGCTTCAAAGAAGGAGGGAGGAGTCATCAGCGTCAAATGCAGCTGAGAAGTCGAGTAAAATGAGGTCTGAATTAGATTCAACAAGCGGGAAGTTACAGCGGACCTTAAGGCTAGCTCCTTCAGTGGCCTGCTGGGAGCAAAAGCAGGGTGAATCATATGCTATGTTCTGCAAGACAGAGCACTCTGGATACCAAAGAAGTTTTTCTGCCTGTGTTGACTGGCTGCCCTCACCACCTTCTGTTTCATATTTCTCATAGCTGATACACCCAAATACACTGCTAGCCTGGATCAATACAATAGTTTGGGATCTATTTTAGTACCATAAAAAGTACAAGTTTTTCTGCGTTCATATATAGTATAAAACTATCTCACATTACTTTCAGATTCTTAATTTGCATGCTGGTAAACATTTCAATTCGTTCAACATAACATAAATTTGGCCTTTCCTGGCAATTCTAGTCCTACATCACTAATTCCATTGACAACAACCGGTTGGAGTGAATAGCAGCCTCAGGCTTCCTTGGCCACAGTCACCCTTACTTCCTATGACCATCCCTGATTTTCTTTCTTTTTTAAAACAGATCAGGCATTTCATTAGGTTCTTCATAATAAATTTAGAACACCAGTTTGCAAAGATAAACCCCATTTGTGAGAGCAAACACAGAGTGGAGGCAGTCCTGGAGCTGAGGAACAGCTTTGATTTTGGGCAGAATTTGCGAGTCCATGGCTTTCTGATCAACTTTGCGCTGCTCTGTAATCTCATATTTCTCTTATTCTGTGTCAAAGATCTCACCCTCCTGGTGTCTGGGCCTGCAGAGCTTCTTCTTTTTCTTTCTTTTTTTTTTTTTTAAGATTTTTATTGGGGAATTGGGGGATGGGAACAGGCCTGGGGGAATTGGGGGATGGGAACAGGCAAGTTGCTGTCCTTTTGTTCTTCAGTCTAGTTGTAGAGGACGTTGCTTCACTGGCTCAAGTTGGCACCATCATTGCGCTCTTCCCAGGTGAGGCAGATCAGTCGCCGGCTTCTGGACGGCCGCTCACAGCGGCTGCTGGTTACACACGGTAGCCCATGGCAACCCACTGCCACAGGGGCTGCAACCTACTCCGTCATCGGCAACTCACAGCAGCCCAGCTCCAGGTTGAGCTGTTGTTCAGCATCTTAGCTGTGGAGGGCAGTGTCACTGGTCCTCATATGTGGGATCCAAACCAGGGCCCTCTGGCGTCCCAAGCCAGCTCTTAACCAACGCGCCACTCGGCCAGCCCCGGCCCTTCTTCTTCTTGAAGTAACCATCACATCAGTGAGATGTTTGGGGATTTTCACACCACACTGATATCAATTTTGGTGGATAAAGGGATATAAAATTTCTGGGATGATCTACCCAGAGGAACTCAATTGAGGGACAGAGGTCCAGTCACAAGTAGCAAGTCACTACTCAGCTGCTTCAGGCAAACCACCATCTTGACGCTGTGCTTCCCAGTGAAGATGATCAGAATGGTCCCGGAAGTGATGCTGGCCCGCAATTTTCTCATGTGCTGACTGAAGGGTTTCTTGCCAGTGGCTCAACAGCTTTTCAAGGCACATCTTTAGTAGGATAGTATCTGAGCACTTTGAGAAGTTTAACCACAGGGGTGTCACTATTCTTGTTGCCACCAACTGGTTTTGTGTCAGTAGCAAGAGCCTTCTTTTTCTTTTCAAACCTGGATTTGGCTGCTGAATACTTCCTCTTGTACATGGCCTTCCAGGAACACATAAACACATAGCCGATGAAGAATAACTGCTAATACCTCTGGCCAGGGCAGGGTTTCAGCTGCAGTGGGGCTTCCCCTTCTTAGGTGTTTTGCCCTTGAGGTTACCTTTCTTAACCCTGCCACCAGCATCAGCCTTCTTGGCTTTGGGTTTCTTCTTGGTGCCCAGCTTCTCATCTTTTTCACCCACCATCTTGCAAGATGGGAAAGAGCCTGTCCCTCATTTTCCTTGGTTAGCTTCACCATTTGTTCACTGACTTTTTTGTGTGTTTTTTACCCCCTCTCTCTCCATCAAAGGTTTAATTACTTAACAAAGCATATACTCTATACATTTATACCATGCTTTCACATTTATTTACAAAGCACCTTCCATCACTCACATCTCACATCTGCAAGGACCACGCTGGAAGGGCAGTGGAGAGGCGCGTGCGCCCCCTACCGACGTCCCGGCGCACTGCAGTTTTGCCGGCGCGCGACCGCCCCAGCCCCGCCTGTCTGAGGCTCCAGAGAAAGCCGAAGTACAAGTGTCCGCGCAGGGCTTCCTGGGAAATGTCTTGGGTGTACATGTTAGAACTGCAAATCCCGGTAGGCACCGCGCTGCGGCCTGGAAGATGAGCGGGCTCTGGTGAATCTGAGTCTCGTTTGTCAGTGCCAGTGGGAATGCTGCACAAACTGGATTCAGTATTCACAGGAGGCTTTAGGGAAACGTGATAGTTCTTCCGCCAGGTGCGAACGAACAGACTTTGCTTCCGTAGCTTCCTCGGACTTGCTGGATGTGACGAATCTACCGTTGCGGCACAGTGGTTAGGTGCGCAAGGCTCCAACGGGAAGCTTGTGTCATCGGCTGTGGGAAGGACATCTGGGCTTCGGGGGCCGCTAGTCATGGCGGCGACTGCCCCCAGTGCCGGGGGCTCCGCGCCTGAGGCGGCGGGCTCCGCCGAAGTCCCGCTGCAGTACAGCCTTCTTCTGCAACACCTGGTGGGTGACAAGCGTCAGCCCCGGGTCCTGGAGCCTGGAAGCCTGGGCGGGATTCCGAGTCCGGCCAAGAGTGAGGAGCAGAAGATGATCGAGAAGGCGATGGAAAGCTGCGCGTTCAAAGCAGCGCTGGCCTGCGTGGGAGGTGAGGCAAGGCGAGGGGACCCCTTGGGAGGCTGAGGCCTTGGATGGCAGCGGGTTCCTCTGCCAAGAAGACCAAGCGCCCTGGAGGCGAGGAGCTTGTGGGCCTCGACCGTGACTGCACCCCGGCCTCGTTCTGTGAACTCGAGCAACCCTCTCTAGACCCTCTGGAAATTGGATCTGAGAAGTGGTACTATGGGTCGGGGCCTGGAGGTTGTAAAATGGTTGACTTCATTCATCATTCATTCATTCACTTTCAAATAATCATTCTTTCAACAAGTTGTTATTGAGTAGCTATCACGTGCCAGGCGGCGGAGAGACAGGGTGAGAGACAAGAGCCTTGTCCTCAGGAACCTAACATCCCTCTCTGTATACCCGGGGTGCCAAAAAAAGGTATACAAGTGGACACTTTGGTCGTTGCTCAGGCAGTAGTTCGCCATAATAAGTGTATGTATGGATGCTGCGGGTAACCACTTTGAGCACCTCTTGTAATTGCAGAAGCCAAACGTGACTTGTATTCATCTTTTGTTATCGGTATATATTGAGTATTACAATTTTAATAGTTTTTTATTTTCTTAAAATGTGCATACCTTTTTTTGGCACCCTCTGTATATCGAAGAATGTTGAGAAGGAGCCTGGTAGAAGAGAACAGCGAGTGCAAAGGAACTGGCTTTAGTTTTGAAAAACAGAAAGGCCAGTGTGATTAGACAGAGGTAAACAAGGGGGAAAGAAATCTGGACTTGACTTTTTTGTTTTTTAGCCTTTTGCAGATTTGAGAATGTATGATGTCGTTCCTGTGTGCAGGGTAGAGTTTGACCACATTTGCAGATGAGTTGAAATCTCATTGAGAATGAAAGACAAATATAGTGAGAGTGCAAATGTGAAGTATAGTAGAAAGAGATTTTTTTTGGTTTGGGGAAGGCCACAAGAGGAGGTGAGACTGGAGCTGTATCTTGAAAGATTGAGAGAATGGGGTGGACAAAGAAGAAGAGAAATGTTTTTTCAAGTTGGGGTTAGAGTGGGGGATTGGGGCTTTTTGCCTATAGGTATTAGGACAGTAATTGATGGGTGTTTTTTTTGTTGTTGTTGTTTTCTTTTTAAGATTTTATTGGGGAATTGGGAAGGGGAACAGTGTTGGGGAATTGGGGAAGGAGAACAGCCAAGTTGTTGTCCTTCAGTCTTAGTTGTGGAGGGCACAGCTAGCTCAGCTCCCAAGTCCAGTCGCCATCTGGCCACCCGACAGCAGCTCAGGGCAGCTCAGCTCAAGGTGTGGTGTTCAATTTTAGTTGCAGGTGGGCATAGCCCACCATCCTATGTGGGTGTCGAACCAGCAACCTTGTTGTTAGGAGCATGTGCTCTCACCAGCTGAGCCATCCTGCTACCTGTTGGCAGCTCAGCGGCAGCTCAGCTCGGGCGCAGCTCACTGGCCCATGTGGGAATCGAACCGGCGACCCTGTTGCTCAGAGCTCGTGCTCTTAACCACCTGAGCCATTTGGCCAGCCTTGATGGTTTTTTTTAGAAGAGTAACAAGTGGTAATGAGCATGATGCTTCAGGATGGAGTGTGGTGAAAGAAAAGTCTGTGGATAGGGAAACTGTATTGGAAATTTGCTAAATTGAAGCTCCATGAGGAATGGACTGGGTCTTTGTTCATTGTGTTTGACCCTGATAAATCACTTACGTATTTGGGTCTTTGTAGTGCTCCAGGTTGGACGTGATAAAGACCCTAGATTAGGATGATAATTGTGGACATGGAGTTGTAGGGCAAACAAAGAAACAGTCAGAAAGGCCCCTGTGGTTTGGAGCTGGCGTGACTAGAACGAAGGAGCCATAGCAAGAAAGTCTGGAAGGGAGGTGCCCAGGATTTCATCAAACGTATACAGTTTACCCTTGAACAACATGGGTTTGCACTGCATGGGTCCACTTATACATGGATTTCTTTTAATAAATACCTGTACTGTTTTCGATCCTTGGTTGGGAGTCCACGGATGTGGTCAGCCAACGGTATGCATTGCTGTACGCCATTTTATATAGGAGACTTGAGCACCCATGGATTTTACTATCCGTGGGGGATCCTGGCCCCAATCCCCTGAGTTTTTGCGGAGTCAAACATTATACGTGGATTTTTGACTGCGGGGGTCTTGGCACCCCTAACTCCTGC